ATCCTCCCTGTTTCAAACTGGCTCCCACCCCTCTATCATAACCCTCCCCTTTGTCAGCCAGAGCCTCGTCTTCCTTCTACTGCCTTAAATTATTCTTCCTCTTCTCTTGGATTATTATGGGAGTAAAATGTCCTTTGGGGTCGAGCTCTAACAGCACAGCCCAGATTCCTCCTGCCCTGAGCCAGCTTCTGCCTCCCAGCTCTCAGCCCAGAAAACGAGCCTGTAATTGAAATGCTAGCAGACACTTTGAGTGGAAACAAGCTACCAATTAAAGCTATTATCCCTGTCAAAGAGCAAAGGGAGCGGCCCAGCTCCTGCTCAGCTGGGGAATAGCATGTCGCTAGCGCTGAAGTTTGGGCATGGCTTCACAGAAGGAGAAAAGTTTCTTTAGGGAGAGGGAGAGGGGCTGGCGATGGTAGCCAGGTGGGATCTGACAGCAAGAGGAAGCCTGTGCTTTGCGAGGTTTATCTTTGGGGCCCTTCTTCTTTACTGCTTCCCTGCTGTGACATCCTGGGCCAAATTTACTGTTTTCTCTTCACACCTGTAGAGGGAAGGAGCTGGTGCAAAGCATGGCTGCTTGGCTGAGTGTTACTGCAGAGGGTCTCGGTTATTTCCAGAGTCCAAGGACAATTTGTCAGGGGTGAGGTCTGTAGGGGTACCTTGTTTGGGACCTCCTAGCTCTGCTTTCCAGTGTGTTGGACAGTTCAAGGAGAGCAGAAGGGTCCCAGTCCAGCTTGTAGTCCTGCAGAAGCATTAGAGATGAAGTGGTCTCTGGTTTTCTCTGTACACTGCAGTGGTCTCCGAGGCCACTCTAAGCGGTTTTGCCACATTCACCTCGTCATTGCCTGCAGCAGAGAGGGCTGCCAGGGATGTGAGCAGGTCCCCACGTCCTGCCTTGCTCAGGGGCCCCTCCTCTCTGCTCGCCCTTACAGGCAGGAGGGAAGCACTACCACCCCACCTGTGCCAGATGTGTCCGCTGCCACCAGATGTTCACAGAAGGAGAGGAGATGTACCTCACAGGTAGGGATCCCACTGCGGCGAGGAGGGACTCCCCTGCCCCATCTTGGGGCGTGGACCCAAGTGGGGCAGACCAGTGTGGCTGTGTGGAGGTGTGCTGGCTGTGGGGGCACTTGGGGTTCGGGTCCTTATGGTGATCAAAGCCAAAAAGGTCTCTGCACAGCAGAGTCCCAGTGCCCACCAGCAATGCCAGAAACCCCTCTCCACTGCTCTCCAGCCCTTGCACTCTTCCTGGGCCGTGCGGCAGTCGTTTCTCTCCATGAGACCTTCCCTGCTGCTGAGCTGGAGGAGACTTTGTTCCTCGTTGGCAGTTTTTTGCTCCCCGCGAGTCTCCCTGCACAGCTGGGGAGCACTGCCGGGCATGCCTGGATGTGCCCCTGGCCTGCGCCCAGCAAATAGAGGCTGGGATGGGTGCAGAGCGACGGGCTCCCTGCTCTCCCCAGCCCCAGGGGAGGGTGGTCCAGGACCCCTTCCCCACTGCCCCCAACTCCCCCCGTCCAGGTTACGCTGCGAGCAGCACTGGAGGGGTAAGGCTTTTGCTTGGTACAGCCGGTTGGTTTGGGTTTGGTTTTGGCAGGAGCTCATCCCTGCCTTAGGAGCTGCCTTAGGGGCTATTTCCAGCACAGCGGGAGGGTTTGTTTTCTCTCAGTGACCTGTGCTTGCCTGTCACCCTGAGTCACTAATGACCCTGTGGGTGGCAAAGGGGGAATTGTGCACTGAGAGAGATGGAATGTGGGTCCCAGCAAGGCCCTGTCGTGGGCAGCAGGATGCTCAGCATCCATCCCGGGGCACACCTGGGTGAACCTCGGTGGCTTTGCTGGTTCCAGCCCGGAGGGCGTGTGAGGGGTTCTGGGTGCCCCGGACTCGGTGTTACCCTGAGTTTAACCAGCAGGAGCTGCCTGGCTGAGCGCTGGTTGGGCTGGGCCAAAAACACACCCGGATTTGCTGTCACAGTTTAGTAGTGTTGGCCACTACGTCTCAGTGCTCGAGAGGTGTTTCATTTCTTAGTATGGCCACCCAGTGCCCACTGCCCTGCCTTCCCAATGCGTGTATAGTGGAGAAAGCACCCAGGAAAGCCAGTGGGACCCAGCAGGTGACCCCCCTCTGCATCTTCGGGGCTTACCACCTCCCTCCTGCTCTGCTCCCCATGGAGAGACTCTAGTGCCTGCCCCTGCAGGCCCCCCCGCAGCAGCTGCCCCCCCAGCATGCAGGGGTTGCACTTCTATAACACTGGTTGCTCAATGGAGCTGCTGCTGGGGAGAGCACCGACACGTCCTCCCATGGGCTGCAGGTCGGTGCTGGAGTCCTCCATGGCAGAGGGAGCTGGATGATCCCTAGCAGCAGGGGTGAGCTGTGCGTGGAGCTGAAACACTTTCCCTTTGCCGTGTTGCAGGCTCCGAAGTGTGGCACCCCATCTGCAAGCAGGCGGCCAGAGCAGAGAAGAAGCTAAAGGTAGGGAGCAGGGTGAGGGGCATCTCTGAGAGGTGGCATGTCCCAGCTGATGTTGCCCCTGAGTCCTGAGTTCCTGCTGGAGGTGAACTGTTGTGGGAATGTCCAAGCCCAGGGTGGCTTTGCGAGGCAAGCACGAGCTCTGTCCCCGCTGCCCAGA